AGAGAGAGAGAGAGAGAGAGAGAGAGAGAGAGAGAGAGAGAGAGAGAAGGGGGCGATATGGCCGAGAGAAATAAGAAGGCGAGCAAGAGATCAAGATGCGGGAATAGAAACCAGGCAAAAAAGACTGAAGATAAATATAAAATCAAGGAAAGTAATTAAGCGAGGATCAAAGTAAAAAGAGAGCGGAAAGGTGGATCAGGTATTAAAAAAAAGCGGCGAAAGCTTGGGAGAATTTATTAGATAGTAATACTGCTATTTGCTGACAGAGATGTGTGTGTATACATGTGTGTGTGCACCGTGTTTATACATGCGCCCGTATATGGGCATAACATCAACATATCGATGGCAACATAATACAGCGACAACCCCCAAGCCCCCTTGAAAAAAAACACGTCTCCTGTGGAGTAATGTTAGGATGAAAGTGTGTTGACGTTTACGTCGGTAATAACGTGCATTGCTTATTCGCGGGGGCCTGCGCGCGCGCGGTCACAATGTATGTGTACCAGCAGGGTCCTGTGTTGTTTGTGTTCTGATGCCTTTGACACAGTTAACCTCTAGAAGTTGTTGGCAGTCATTGATGGTTGGTGCCTTCGGGGCAGGCGAGTGTGCCGACGATGGGCTCGCCACATAGACTTCCCCCGGCGTTCCCCACCCCCGCGTGAATACACGCACGCGTCAAACCCGCGTGCATCCACGGCGACCGTCTAACCTCAGATGCCTGCCTAGATGGTCGCCGATTGTCTTGGCGGTTGGGCGCGTGACGGTGAAGCGGTTACCTGCGTAGTGTGGGGGGACAGTCTAGCGGGCACGGGCCGCTGCTCCTGGCGGTGCATTGGCGTGAATTCCACTCGTTCTCTGACAATGAGTCGGGGGCCCGTGCGGCTGGCAGACGCGCCGCGCGCCGTTCCCGTGAGAAAGTTTACCCGTGCATGGTGAACGTTGTCAGCTTACGATGGGCCAGAATTAATGGTCGATCTACTCGGCGAGGAGGGGCCAAGGTGGCTGCTACCGTACCATTAGCCGGCGAATCCACTTAAAGTGATAGCGATGTGTGTAATCTCCACTAACGTATTGGAGCCCGCGCGTATTGTACTGCGGTTAACCTTACGTGCGTACGTACACACGCGCGTGCGACGTACGCGCGCTAAAACACTGCTGTTTGCCTCGGTGCTCGCGCAGGTGTGGGTTTTGGGGGGTGGGGGTGGTGGGAGTGCGGGTGCTTATTTTTATCGATATTTCTCCCTATCGCGATTTCGTCGCGTTTTCTCACGGTAGCTGTTGACTCTACAGCGCAATAAATCAAGTGTGGCTTAGATAGGCGCCTGCGTCTTTCTCTCTCTCTCTCTCTCTCTCTCTCTCTCTCTCTCTCTCTCTCTCTCTCTCTCTCTCTCTCTCACACACACACACGCTCTCTCGCTAGCTCGCTCGCTCTCTTCAAACACGCTCGTAAGTAAAACCTGTTAGGCCTTATCGTTTTAAATTTGCTCCCGTAGGTGGTGATAGCGCACGCTTGCTGCTGCGACATGTTGACTCGGTCAGAAATGTCCGGCAGCTTCCTTAGGAAAGCGTG